TCTTGGCTGGAATGCCTTTTCCATGGTGCATTCTGGCCTCTCCCTTCTGGTGCCTAGAATCAGGCCATAAAATGACTTTCTTGAATTAGAAAGTTAATTTCCATCTGCTTAGATTCTGAGAATGCCAAGCCCTTTTTTTTTTTTCCCCTCTCTCTAACTTCTGCTTCTCTGAAAAATTCCTCAGTTTTGGCTTTTCATTATGACCTCGGATGAACATAAACATCAAAACATCCCCAGCTCTGTCATGCTGGAATCATTCTGGATCTGGGCTGCCCAGCCTAGCCTACAGCCCATGGTAGGGACTGCAGCAGTTTGTCACGGTCAGATTTTGATGAAACCGGAGTAGAATTGACTGGAAGCTTTCACACACGAACAAGCAAATATGCTGTGGGTGCTACTCACCCAAAGGCATACACTGTGCTCGAGTTGTAATATCGACCCAGCTCTGTGGCACGAATCAGTTCCTTCAGCTGTAATGAGAATGTCGTCTGATAACTATTGTGCAATGTTACAGTGGCAAAGGACCTATGGCCAACCCTATGTTCCATCCCTCTTGCTGTAGAGACCCACCAAGTTTGTCACTTGGATGAGGGTACCTGACCCCTTCCTCCTTCTATGCACTGAACTGCCTCAGGGCCAGCTCTGGTCATGAAATTGGCCTCACCATCTTCTGGAGCTTAGCTGACTCCAACCAGAAGGCTCTGGACTCCACCTGCCCAAGGTCCGGGGAGTACTGGCGATTGATGACCTGGAGGCTGCCACAGTAATACTGCAGGATAGCCGGTTCCAGGTGCCATGGTCTGTAGTCTGTCAACAGAAGACACTACTGGATTACTCTGCTGATACGTGAGAGAGAGGGGTTTACCCATGTGTATAAGTCTGTAAAGATCACCCAGAGTCACTAACACATTTTGGGGTGGGCATTGAGTTGACTACAGCCCATCCACCTTGTGTGTGGGAACAAAACGTGTTGGATTTTTACCTAGGAAATACCAGGTTGCTGCAGCAGCTCCAGCCAGCAGAAGAAAGGTTATCCCAATGGGCACGTAGCGGAGGCAGTCACGTGAGTTAGTCTCACACTTGTCCTTTGAGAAGGAGTTAGCATCTTCCTCTTGTTCTCCGGCCTCCATCGGGGCATCTAGTGACACAGCATTCCATGGTCAGGATGAGTTTTCTGCTTCCCTTCACATCTGTCTCTAGAGGTGCTCTGCCATTTCTGTGCTCCTCTCTATAGCCCCAAGAGATCTGTGTGCCAGCCATCAAAGACATTGCTCAGCGCAAACGTGAGTAGAACTCCTAATTCCATGGGAGACAGGCTTCCAGGCCATTGTCCTGTCTATGCCTCCTGGTAATTTCTTAATTTTCAAAGGCATTCCCTGGGGTCTGCTTCTGCCAAAACCACAAATGAGTGCAATAATGAATTTCTCCAGAGACACAAGTGTTGTCCTCCCAGGCTGGGAATAGTTTTAAACTGGTATTTTATTGACCTAGAAATCACTACAATAGAAAATCTATGATCTCAGATGCCCGCAGAAGTTGCACAGAACAGCCACAGCCTGGGAGGCAGAAGTTGCACTTTGCCTGCTGTTCCATTTTGCTCTCTGTCTCTAAAAGTATGCAAGCCTTACCATTCCCACCAGACTGTGTTCCCCAGGGCTAAGGCCATGCTAGTTTAGCTAGTGAGGAGAGATAACCTGAGTAACACTCAGCCCCCTACCACCCTCTGCTTGTGCCAGGGCACATCTTCTGTCTTCCTTTGCCCCTTGTCTCCCCCAGGATGCTTTTTTGCTTCCTCTCCACCACTCCCCTTCTGACTGCATCAGACTAAATGCCATTGATGAAGGGAGCCACATTGATCTTGGTTGTCTGACCCAACTTCCTTCTCCATTCCTCTGCCATCACTGAGTGCATGGCTGCCCACAAACGCTTTCTGTGTTTCTGTGTCTGCAGAGCAAAGGGGTGTGAAGCATCCAGGTGGGAGGGTACAGAGATTTTGGGAAATGCCTGTGCCCTGTCTACATGTCTGAGAGTCCCCTTTGTGCCCAATGGTGTGTATGAGTGAATGGGATGGACTTGCTGCATATGTCGGAAGAGGTGGTTTGCCTCATGCACGTTTTAGCCTGCATGGGTGATACAAATCATTCCAAAGATAGGGGTGAGTGGGCTCCTCAGTCTCCTTGCTTTTCCCAGTTACAGAGTCCCAAGCCCTCCAGGCTGCCTTGCAACATGAAAACACACTTGCAGAAAGCAAGCATCAGGTAGCTCACTTCAAAACATTAAACCCAGCTTGGTGAACATCAGCACTTGGACAATCAGCCACATATCTACTGCTCTAATACACCCTTCTAGAGAGGCACATGGTACAAACAGGTCCAGCAGAGATTGCCCTCCCTTGCTTCTCATGGGTCACCCCTCTATGCAACCCCTGGGGAGCATCTCTTTGCCAGTGAACAAAGTTGGGCGGTCCAGCAGAGCAAAGGCACTTCTCTGCTATCACAGCATCCCTTCAGAAACAGCAGGTACAAGCAAAGAACCGCAGACAGAGGGGCAGGGGCAGGGGCAGGAAGGCAGGAAGCAGCAGCAGCAGAGTCTCTTTCTTAGAAGGTTTGATGGTAGGCACTGGGGTTTCCCCTGGAGCTGCAGACCTACCTTTGAAGCCTGTTGCCATCTGTGAGGCTTGGCCCACACCCCCTATGCAAGCCAGCTCACACATGCATGGAGAGGGGGGAGAGAGGAGGACATTTATTTACCCAAGCTCAAGGTTGTCTCAGCGATCAATAATGTGGTGCCATATCCCTTCAGCTCGACCTTTGTCCTGCGCTGTCCTGCTGCGATGTGTCAGTGCACCCCGTACAATGGGGTTTTTCTTCTCTGAAATGGAGGTTTTGGAGGCTTGTGCAGGGATAAGATCTGCAGGCTGAGCCTGGAATAAGTCAGGGTAGAAGCACCTCCAGCCGTGCAGAGAACAACCAGGAGGCTGGTGCAGATAGGTTACGTTGTCTTCCTTGTGGGAGAAGGAGCTGCTGAGCAACAGCTGTATTTCTTAGCTACCCTCCTTGGTCCCATTGGAGGGAGAGACAAAGCACAGGGTGTGTGCTCCCCAGCACAGGGATGGAGCAGATGCTGGCTGGCAGGTGTAGATTGCTTGAAGGAGGGAAGATGACAGTAGACAGTGGGTCTGGTTACCACAGTGGTCATGCAGATGAAAGCAAAGCACGGTGTCTCTCAGTCCCAACCTGCCTACGTCTTGTCTTCTTGCTCTTCTTGATGGCCACTCTCCAGACACTGGGTTCCCTGCACTCCGTTGCACAGCCACTCAATGCTCCCTGCAGCAGCTGCTTTCCTCTAGCCCCAGGTCCTCCTCACCTACCTTACGCGCACCACCTTCTACTTACAGCCCTGCAGCCCTGTACATGCCCCTTTGTTTTCCAAAAAAGGAATACAATCCAGCTAGAGCAGAGTAAATAGAGTTATTCTGTCAATAAATGGGTGGAAGGAATGCGCACATGGGCGACTCTCAATCTGGGACTGAGCTCCATCCAGTGACATTGACCTGTGGCTGAGCTCTTTTGTGCCAGAGCTCATTTGGGTTTGTTTGGCAGCTGGGCAAGGATAGCTGCTTTCAGCTCTGCCACTATTTCAGGTTTAGTCCAGGACTGCAAGAAGATCAAAAAGCCATTGCTCTCATTGCCTCACAGTGGATTCTAGTAAATAAATGTTAAATGTGGATGAAAATCTGCAGGGTTTTTTGGGGAATATGTCAATGTCGTTAGCCCGACTGACTCATTGCTGTACACATGGGAAAATGAGACACGCAACGGCACTACAAGCTGCTTTCAGAACTGCCCAAGAGATTTAAGAGACCAGGTTTCTCTTTAGAAGTTACTTTGATCCAAAATTTCCCCAGATAACTGGGGACTAGCTATGTCTGTAGACATATATATATATATGTATATAACTCTCCCAAGTTCATACTATGAGGGTTTGTCACAGTGGGTCAGAACTCAGCTGAGGATATTTTCCAGTGCCAGAGATCTTACTCTTTTGTGTTCAACGTTCCTGGAAAGGAACATCCTCCTTCTCTGTTGTTTTCAGCAGAACAAAAAATGTAGACTCTCAATCTGATCTATCTAAGCAAACTTACCACAGGCTTTTAATCAACCAAGGACCCAAAACCTTGATCAGATCTGACTTCAGACGAATTCTTTTACTGCAAGTACCCTTTACTTTCTGCTTCTTGATAGTAAAAAGAAAGTAGGGATGTGGGAGAGGACTGAGAGTTAATGTCTATGTATGAACAAGGTATCTTGGGAAGAGGTTGATGTGAGATGTGACAGCTATCATTGCTGTCCCTAGCCTTAAGATAAGGAGAGGACTCATGTTTGTGGCTGTTAGCTCAATATTTTCCACACAATACTGGTGTTCCCCTTCAGTTTCCCTCGGTACTGGTGGACGCTATTGTAGCATCTCTGTGGTTCTGTGAACCATACGCTATGCCTTCACATTGGCTTTGGAGGGAACCGCTCCCCGTGTGACATTTAAGAGGAGCTCTCGGGGAGTCAGCAGAGAAAGGGCGCCGTATCACTGAGAGTGTTATGCTTCTAGTATTCTAGACCTGGGTTACTCACATACAGGACCACATGATCTTGTCTTCCTGGAAGAAAGGTCCAGTTATTGTCAGATCTGATGTTGAGCACTTCCTGCTGCAGCGTGTCACGCATTCACACCCAGCATGGCTGCGAATGCAGTATTAACAGCTTGCCAGCTCGAAACCTGTCAGCATTTTCACAAGGAGGGGAGAAAGTACTGAGCCAGCAGGATGGTCCTCAGGGCCTTGTGGCAGGATCACCTCCAACTCTGTTTTCTGTTTTAGGTGGCCGATTCCCTGAGGGGAGCAAGGAGGAAGGCAGGCTAAAGGTATATCGAGCAAAGCTTTGTGTAGTCATCTATTTGGAAAAGCTGTTAACTCTTTCCCCCCACACCAAAGGACAGAAATACACTGTAGATTACTAAATATTTATTTTATTTGCAAAGAGGGAAAGTTTTTCTTTTGTACTCAGAAGCGAGAATAATTAAAAAGCTTATGAAGATCTACATTGGGACAGGATAATCATCAGTACAACTAGGATACTTGGCCCATGTAAAACAGCAAATTGCCTGTCAGGGGCATGGGATTCAGCACGTCTTTTTGAAGTCCATCTGGGAAGATTCTGAATGTATAACAAGCAGCTGGGCAAGCCTTGTGCTTCCTTATCCAGGAAGCTGTAGGGTGTTCTTCAGCCGTTGTCTCCTGCAGACAACGGAGCAGTCCACGTCTTGATGCAGGTGGTGAAGAAGCTGATGAGAGGAGAGGTTTAGCTCCTCCATCCCTCTCAGTTACATTCAGGTTCAGCTCCTCTGAGCAGCACTTTTGTGGTGAAATCCAAGCCAGTGGGTACCCCACACCTGGGATTCATAATGATATTCCGTCTGCATAATGCAAGGTCAGGTAACAGTGTGGAACTGTGACAACGGGGAAGCTCAATGCTTGTACAAAGAGGGGTAAGGAATAATTAGTTCTGAGTGATACTCACAGGGGTGACAGAATTAATGAGTTTGATATCCTTGACCTTTTTGATATAAAAAATCTTAGAAGAAGGATCTTTAGCACAGGGCTGATATTTTCCCACTGCTGAGTAGTCCAGAAATATGCAAGAAAGCAGATAGACAGTACAGATGTTAAATGCAGGGATGTGTGTAACCAGAACAGCTTGTCTTCCTTTGCCTTGCCACTTTTCTTCCACGTTGAGCTGCTTTTTCTGAAATGAGATCAGCAAATGCAGAGGAAAAAGAAAAAAACACAATGTGGCCTTTGCTATCCCCATTCTTTGTGAGTGGATTGGGGTTTTCTTTTCAGCAAAGGTGCTGATTTGTGGGTTAGTTTTCTGGGCTTATTCACCACATCTTTGCTGCTAATTAGGCAATGGTTTCCCTTGAGCAATGGAAGGAATGGGCAGCAGTGTTGTGATGTTTTCCACTAATACAGGATGTGGGATGAACTACTCTGCAATCAGCTTATCGTAGTCAAATAACTGTATTTTGCCAGCAGGGCAGAGAGGCTTTCGATTTCATGAAAAATATTGCAGCAAGAATGGGAAATTGTGTGCGTTCTCTTTACTGCCATCATCAGACCTGGGGGAAAGGGGGGAGGGGGATTTCCCCACTATTTTTAACCCAATAATGGGGATTTGTTTTTACACTGCATTGCCTTAGACAGCTGACACAGCTGGGGCTCTGAGCCTACCTTAGAGACTCAAGTCCAAAGCTGGACTGAGTAGCTTAGAATGTAATATCTGATTAAAACCTGAAGTGGGGACATCACAGGAAAAGTTATACCCTTGGTCAGATGTCTTCGTCCATTTCATCACTGGCCACAGCACTGACCAGCGGTGCTACTGTCCCTTGTACAAAATCTCTTGTCTACCTTTTCAGGCATTTCTCCCTCCTGTTAGAGGTTTTTAGGCTGGGATGAGGCAAATGGACCATGTGGCTGCTCGGCATCAAATCTGAGTGCTATTTCACACCAAGATGCAGAGCATGGAAGTGCTGGCACAGCCTCCTACTAAGGAGCTGGGAAGTTAAAAACAAGCTGGTGCAATTTGGTATGGCACTTGAGCAGTTCAGGAAGGGGTTTCTATTCTGTCAGATCCAGTAATAGAAGAGAAACAGATTCAGTTACAAAGGTGAGTCCTTGTTTGCCTGTATGCCTAAGAATAAGACTAAGGCTTATATGTCTCCATTAGCTGTGCTGCCACTGAACAGCTTTAACGTGCCTTTATCATTTTCCATCTCTTGATTTACTGCCCACTAGCCTAGCTCTCCATACAAAATGTCCTCTCATTTCCAGCGGTCTGTTTCACTAACACTTTACCTTGGGAACTGGTGTTTACTCATTTAGACATCCATGAATTTACACCTTGTCCATCCTATCCCTTTTCTGGTTTTGCAGCCCTCTAGAGTAACTGGTCTCTCCAGCTTCTTTAAAGAACAGTCCCAATGGGTCTGATGCTGAAGCCACATTCTTGCCCTGAATAGGAAAACTCACTCTCCAGCCTTTCCTGCAGGGAAGGCCTTTCCCACCTGTGGGTTTCCTCCAGGCAGATCCTAGACAGAGCAATAGCTGTATTGGCACTGGAGGTCCCTCAGGGAAAGGTAGGCACCAGTGTTTGGGGCCTGGCTGGAGCAGGCTGTTCTGCATGAATCCTCATTCTGGCTTTGCCTTAGAGGTGAAGGCTGAGAGGAAGAAGAGGTATCATGTACTGCTGGTGTACAGGGGTCAGTCGGGGGGTTTGCCTCCCCATTCCCCTCCATTACATCAACAGTATTGCTGTCATCCAGGTCTGGTGGGTGAGAAAAGTCAGTGTCCAGCTGGCACGGGGCCCCAGGAGGCTGTAAGGCTGCTTTGTCCATCACCTTCTCATTCTGTTTCAGAACTGGTGTTAGCGAGGTGCCTTCACTTGACTGGAGAACCCCAGAAATAGCCATGGCCTGCTGGGATTCTCCTTCCATCTTTTCCATGAGGGAGCTGCTTTGTAAGCCCCGGGTCAGCTTGATACAGTGCAAGAAGTTGTGGGACAACACTGGCATGTCCTCTGCCAGCGTGCAGAGGTCTGGGGAGGGTAGAGCATAGTAAGGCTTGCCATTCCCGCTGCCAATGCCCTCCTGGGTGAAAGGCTCGTAGGTGAAGTATACCTGGCAGGGCTCAATTTCAAAGGAGTTGGAAAGGGGGAAGAAGAAGTAGCCTTGGTCGGTGAAGCAGCTGGATACAGAGTGGCCACTGGTTTCTAAGGGTGGTTCAGGAGTTAGGGTGCCCTTGGAAAGTAGAAGCTGTGATTCCTGGTCATTCTTCTGCATCACCTCAAGCATGGAGATCTCTGGGGTTGTGCTGTTCACACAGTAGGAAGATGTGGAGAATGGGGAGGAGAGCCATTTCTGTTGGGAAAGAAACACAAAGTTTAACACTCGGTGCTTCTCCTGAGCACCCACAGCCATCAAGTGACCTTTTCTCTGTCTAAGCAAGAGTTGCTGAAGGTGGGGAGGGAAATTCGCATTCATGATATCTTATCTGCAGGATTTACAGGGAAATTATGTCTTTCTGTCACTTTGAAATCAAAAGTGGATCTTGTAAGCCTATGTTTTGAGATTTCTGGAGGGTGAATGGAAGATGGAGGATAAAATTAAAAGAAGAAAAAAACGCTACAAGGCTGTAAGATGAAGGTGAAAACATGAAAAGCAGTACTGAGATGCTTGTCATGCAATCTGTTCCTAGGTGCTGAACCAGTTTCTGATACATCTGCATGGCACTGTGCAGATTTCTTGTCTGAAGTGCTCTCCCAGACCCCTTGTGCCTAGATTTCCACACTCATTATGAGTGCATCTATCCTTAAAAACTAACTGGTTTTGGTTACATCCAACTTCATTGCCTTTATGGCCAGTAAAGCCACTTTTTCTAGTCCTTTCTGCACTGAGAAAGTGTCTTCAGTGCCCACTGCACACCCCCAGTGCCCTACTCTGCACTCTTCCCCTGTAGTTCAAGCTTTCTAAGCCTTTTTGCATTTAGGCTTTTCCAAAGCTTTGCTGTCCTCTGGACCTTCTGCAGTTTTTTCCATCCTTCTTAAAGAGAGATGCCCCTTGGGATCCCCTCCTACGCCTTGCATCTGACACTCCCTTTAATGCTGCACAGAATGGTAATTGTCTACTTGCAGCTGCCTGCACTCACAATGAGACCAGGGGAAGGGAGAAAGTGGAGGTGGAGAAAGAAGGAAAAGAGACAACAAGAATTCAGAAAACAGTGAAGCACCACCCAGAGTGATGGCCATTCACATTAGGGGCAGAGGAAAGGCTCAGAGCCAGGAGGAGGAGATCACAGCAGGAAATCTGGGGAGGATCTAGGCAGCCTAGAACAGTCAGGGAGGGCCTGAAGCGGGGTTGAAGGGGACCTGAGAGGCCAGGCTCCCTGCTGCAAGCCCCTTGTTTTCTCCCAGGCTCCCTGTTAGGGGAGCAGCGTGCTGAGGTTTGTGTGGTTTGCTATTTCTCAGTTCTGTAGTTAGAGATGCCTCAGCCGAGTGTCAGGTTTTGGAAGGGCAGAAGGTTTCCTTCGAGCAGAGGACTCGGCAGCTGGTGCTACAGGCACATGTGCCAGGTGTGCATACGTAGGTCTCAAAACTGCCTGCCTGCCCTTAGGCATGTTTAGCTGGACCCTCCTTTCCCTCATTGCTCACTCATATCCTCATGGCTCCATCCCCAGTCCCATACCTGAATGTCACCTCCGTGAACTGAAACAAGTGGGGGGAAGAACTTCTCGGGGTCTGGGATGTGAATTTTCAGGATCTTCTTAAACCTTGAGAAAAGAAAATGAGAAGAAGGATTGAAGCGGGCCCTGATCCTGACCAATCTGGCACTGTGATACAGATAGGAGAAAGTATTGCAGCTCATGGGTGTTACTCTGCTGTGGGGAACAGGTAGAATAAGAGCAAGGCTGAGGGCTGTCTTTGCTCTTGAGTGGACTAAAAAGCAGTAGCTGAGGGATGAGTTGTATAGAGATGGGGTAGTTAAATCTGGTATTGGAAAATACATTGCCCTTAGCCTTTTCCCTGGGGAAGCACAACCAACAGTTCGCTGGTTTCTTCCCTGCCTTGGCTGGTCACCTTAACTTCTCCACCTGCTCCCTTAAGGCCGTATCCTGGTGACAAGCTGGGCAGGTCTCCCTTGTTTCCAAGCTTCATCTGCTGTGAGCTGCCCCCTCTCTGCTTTGCTGACACCACAGTGACTCTGAGCACCATGTGGCCTGAGTGGGACCATCACTGGCAAAGCTGTGGCCACAACTCTCTGTCCTGTTAGCGGGATGCTACATGGTATTGCTAGGACACACTGGCCCTGCAAGCCATCTGAGTATGCCTTGCAGCAGTCCAGAAGCCTCTACTGTACTGGAACCAGCCTGTTGTCACCCTGAGGCATCATAAAGCGATCTAATCTGTTTCTCAGCCCCTCAGAGAGGTTGGCTGATCTTGTCAGCTCTTTTCTGAAGCTTTGCTGTGGGATGCTTTGAGGAAAAACCCTCTTGACCTCTGGAGGCAATCAGTGTACTCTCTGAAGCATCAGAATTTGCTAGTTCTTGCATATAAACTACCTTACATCACTGCAGATGCTATTTTTATTCATGCATGTCTAATCCTTCCCTTGCATCTTACCTCAGCATTATCCTCCATCCAATTCCCCGCGGTTAATTATACTTTGTGAAGAACAGAGGTTTTTTCATCTCTTTCTGTGCCATATAGCTAACACTTCCTCACTTTCATGTTATGACTTAAGGTAAAACACAGTGACTTTCTCAGTATCCATCTTCCTTCAGCATGCTTCTCCTCTTATCCTTACAGAGAAGTCATCCAGGCTCTGCTGCCTCATCCCTGAGAATATTTCTCCCTGCTCCCTGCCATGAACATCAGCACTCTGCTTCCTTGCCCCTGCCCTAAGATGAGAAAACCTGTGGCCTTTTCCAACCTCGCCATCACTCTCTATGTTACTGTATGGGGTAACCTTGCGAGACACTTTCGGTTCTGAACAAAAGCAATGTCTGGGGAGAAACGCCGACAAAGAGATCTTTAAAGCATCAGGTAGATGTTTACCATCATGCGATGAGATACTTCAGGACTGCACAGACAAGGAAGAGGCAGAATTGTACTTCTCACTGTAATCCTTGTGCAACAGAAGTTCTAAGGCAGCTGTTTTTAATTCAGCAAGGGCATGGCACCAGGTCACAGGAGCGTGGCGCAGTGCAATGATGGTGGTAAAACCACATCATCTTGGGTGGTGATATATCTCCCCAGACAAATGCCAGCCTCAAAGGGCTGGGCTATAAACCATATTTTTAAGTCACTCTCTATCCTGAATCACACCAGGTGAAAAATAGGCTGGGTTTTGAGAAGACACACAGAACACAGGAGAGGAACAGAGAGGAAAACAACTCTCATTTACCATTTCAGGGTCCGTAAGTTAATAAGGAAGGCAGTTCCAATGACCACGAAGATGCAAGTGCTCACTATAAGAAACGGCAGTACCGGTTGGGATGTTTCTGCAAGATGAGAGAGAGCAAGGGATTAGCTGTAAAAATTTAGCCAGGATGCTGGAGGTAGGAGCTGCAGCCCTTCCATAGCTATTCAAGGTGATCAAAGTGTGCCTATATTATGATTTTATATAATAGTACAAAATTATGCATAATTATAAAATACAGGGCCTTTATAATAATTTGGTATAATAATATATACAATTATAATATACAGGTCAGATAAATTGAACTATTTTCTGCTGTGTTGTATAGAATGCCTATGAGCTGATACGGGTTTCAGAGTCTACTTAATAGGTAATTTGTGCTAAACAGCTTGAACTCTCTGTTTATAACAGCACCGCAGCTGGGGGTTGCCACAGGTAAGATGCCACAGTCTAGTAGTTGAAGTGCCCATCAACACATCTGTCTCTTTGCAGAGGAAAGCAATGAGTCCTAAAATCAGCTTAAGTGGGACTGGAGGCTTGAAATGGTGTTATGAGTCAATGGGGGAGACAGAGTCATGGGTCTTTGAGAAGGCAGGAGGGCCAAGGATGGAGAAGGTTAGGGGTCGAAGGACTGCCTTCTTTCTTTGGAGAAGTGTAAGAAAGCTTTAGGTTACAGCTTTCCATCATACTTTAGCACTTGGATTAGGAGAAAGAGACTGAGTTCCCACATTGCCAGTGCTGCCAGCACTCCTCAGGCTCGTCTGGTGTCATCTCAAACTTTTCTTAATCTGTCTCTTTCACACACATCTTCCTAGTGCACCTTTTCTTGATCTTGCTCTTGTGGTTCCTGCCTCCTCTGCCTGCCCCTCATCTCCCTCCATCCCTCACAGCCCTTGGTCTGGGCCTGCAGAGCATCTCTGGAGTAGTTGTGAGGAAGCAGAGAAGAGTAAAAGAAGGTGGAGACATTTTTAGGACATTCTTTGCCTGTCCTTGAGACGCTACTCAGATCACTTTGTCTCCTCTGCCTCTGGTACCCTGGTTATCTTTGGGTCTTGGTTGCTATGACAACTGTTTGCGGCTGTATCCTATTCACTGACATCACACACTGTCAAAATTTGATCACCACAGCAACACAGTGCCCTTTCTAAACATAACTCCTCTGTTTATACCAGCACCAGGCGGCACAACAAGGAGGGGCTGAGCAGGGGCAGAGTAGGGGTGACATGAGAAGGAATAACCTCCATCTGCTTATCTTTTGGAAAAGAAATGACAGAGACCACAGCCAATCACTCACTGAAGAGACTTGCTCAGGGCACTGTCTTTCAAGCTGGAGGTGTCCTCAATGATGCGGTTCACAGCAATGACTGATGTCTCAACAGACCTGCTCAGCCTGGAGAAGAGAAGGCTGTGTAGAGACCTCATAGCAGCCTTCCAGTATCTGAAGGGAACTAACAAGGATGCCAGAGAGGGACCCTTTATCAGGGACTGTAGTGATAGAACAAGGGGTAACAGTTTTAAACTTAAACAGGGGAAGTTCAGGTTAGATAAAAGGAAGAAGTTCTTTACTGTGAGGATGGTGAGGCACTGGAACGGGTTGCCCAAAGAAGTGATAAATGCTGCATCTCTGGCAGTGCTCAAGGCCAGGTTGGACAGCACCATGGGTGACATGGACTAGTGTGAGGTGTCCCTGCCCATGGCAGGGGGGCTGGAACTTAAAGTCCTTTCTAACCCTAACTATTCTATGATTCTATGTGTGTAAGTCTCTTCCACTCTCTGCTCAACTTTGCTTCCCAGTTCCAGTGTCCTTTGTTTCAGGAACTGAGCACTCTGTTTTACTTCATCTCACCAATCAATGGCTCCAAAGAACTGGACCATTTGAGAAAGGTGGATTTATGTTGCTATTTCACATTAGTACCTGGGAAATTGCCAGTCCTGGCCACTGCTTCTGCAGGTCAGACATCTGGCCTTGTTGCTTCTGGGGAAGCAGTCCTTATTTTACATCTTGTGGATATTCCCTGGCTTCTGGAAGTCAGAGGGGCTCTGCTGGGGACAAGAAGTCTTTGTCCTTAAGCTCTGTTGAGCCAGCCTGACCTAATGGATTAGGAGAGACAGATGGTTTCCAACATTTCAAGCTGTCAACACCATCCTCCCTACCCATCTTCCTTCAGCTTCTCAGACTGCTTTGGTGCTTCTACCTCGTTTTCCCCGAGTCTCTGTTTTCCCTTCCATATCAGACTGCCTGACTCTGATCCTTACGGTCAGCATGAGTCCTCCACAGTATCGTCTCGCTCCAGTCGCTCCACACGCCTTTGCAGATGCTTGAGGCACTTGGCCTTGCACGGACAGCTGCCTCGTATTTCGTGTTGGGTGAAAGGCTCTCAAACACCACCCACATCTGGTCTTGCATAATGGTGAAGTTCCTGGCCTCCTGGGAGCAGGGTAAAATTAGAGCGTCATCAACAACCCTGGCTTACAGCCTCACGTAACCATCCCTTCCAAGGCCCTCACAGAGGACCTATCTCAGATCCCTACACCTCATGCACTGCTTGTCCAACCTGGAGGAAAATTCTTCCTCACTTTGCTTTTTTCACCCCTTTCAGTCTGCCCTGGAGCTGTCTGTATTTCTTTGTGACAGCACTAAGTAAAATAGGATTCCCATCTGCCTCCATGTCATCAACCAACGCTAGCAGCAGGTGACACAGATAAAAGAATGGGGGGTGTCATCTGCTCTCCAGCTTCACCAAAACTGGTTTCATCCTGAGAGGTGCCACAGGAGCAGGTCCTTTGTATGGTGACAGGTCCAGTACCCCCCTCTGTACTCACTTGCCAGGACTCAGTTGTGTTTCGGTACCGCACTTGGTATTCCCGCTCCCCATCCAAATAGTGAGAGGAGATATTCAGGCTCCATGTTAAGTTGTATGTATTTTCAGTTTTGTGAACCAGCTGAAGATTGCTTGGGGGCCTCAGCTTTACTGGAAAGAAAAAGGAGCAGGGCTGATACCTCCACACTGTCTGTCCATAACAGGACTTCATTGCAGCAGGGCTGGTGTCTTGGTTGTGCTCAAAGGCTCCAGCCAGCCATGGCAGAGAGTTTGTGAGCTCCCTCCCTCTGTTTCCTCTTCTTCCCCACTGTCACTGACAGCAAAAGGCCTGTTGTCTCTGGGCTACGTTAAAGGCAGTTCCTCCTGTGAGCCTGTGAGAGTGGCCCCTGCAGTCAGTGCCATCAATCAGCCATGGTCATGCATCCTGTCCTGTGGGGCTGATCCACAAGGCAACTGTATGGACAGAGACTACAGCCACAGGGCATGGAGTTACACAGACTGTCCAGGGTGATCCTTTCCAACCCCTGACTCTAGCCATGCTTTCTTAAGCCTCACCTTGCAGCTGCCCTATTGGATGTCTCCTTGAATGAGGTAAGCTCACGCATCCAACAAAAAAATGACCCAAGCAGATGTTTTTCTGCTGGATTAGTGAGTTGAACTCTTTCAGCAAAGACTGGTGCATGCCAAAGCTGGCTTAAAAGAGGGTGGAAGCACATATGTGGTAGGAGGGGTAGGGGAAGAGATGCAAGACTTTCTCTCCTTCCTGCACCATGTCTTTTTCAGGAGGTCAACTGAGCTAACATTGAAGCCAGAAGTCCTAGCACAAAGCATTCTTATTTAACAGTGTCCCAGATACAGGACAGGAAGTGGCTGGCATGATGCTGCATGTTAGAGGTGCAAGTGGCAGGAATAAACTTGCTTCATTTGTGTCAGTTGTAGAAGCGGACGAGGAAAAGACACTGGTCTAAAATCAGCTATGGTGTTGCATAGGGGTGGATGGGAAAAGAAATTAGCTCTCATTTCATATGGAAACTTCAGAGACTGCAAGACAGATGAGTACTCACTGTTTGCAAGTGGACTGAAATCTTCTATTTGCACGGGTACAGACCTATTCTCTCCAACCTGGCAATGGACTGACATGGTAAGACTGTCTGCAGTGGTGAAGCATTGAGCCTGCAAAGAAAATTTACCATTAGTGACAGTGATGGCTCATCAATAAGCACCCATATTTCTAAGCATTGCCTATACATAAGAGGTTTAGGAACACTTGACAATAAATATGGACGATATCTGTGGCTGAAAGGTGAGTGAGAAATCAAAGATGCGTATTTCATGTGGTTGGATTTTGTTGTTCATTGGCTAGAAGGGCACAAAATATTGCAACATGCCAGTTTGCTAGGATTGCTGTATGTGCTGACTAAGGAGGAAAGGAGTTACATTCCATGAGTGACATTTATTGAGAAAAAATATTCTTACTAAAACATTTTGTCTTCATTGATAAGACTGAGATGACTTTAACTATTACTCTTGAAATGCAATGATACTAAAGGCCCACATACATCGTATAGTATTAAATAAGCAATAGGAAATCAGCTTGATTAGAAAGAAAAGATTTTGGGGCTGTTTACCAACCATGCAATTTGTCTTTGCACTTGATGTGCAAATGTTAAGAAAGCTTGTCTGTCATTAGACCTGGTTGTGAGTTTATCACAATTAATTATCAGGGAAATGGTGTTAACCTCTTCAAGGAAATGAGGTCAAGAGGTGACTTCAGAGCTGGTGGCGATGTCCATCCCTCCTCAGAAGAAGGGATTAGGGACAAAACCAAGTAGTTGAGACATGGGACACTGAATGTGGTCTGTCCGGCATGGCCCAGCTCACAATGAAGCCAATCCCTTCTGCAGGGGATCGCGCAGGGGCGAGGTATATTAGCATACAACACCAAACCCAATTCTAGAACTGCAGTCAGGTTTGGGCTTTTTACACTGATGCTGGGGGGTCACACTGTTTATATACCCAAAACCCATGTGAAAGTCCACCTTGTCATTAGCCAGGATATCCCAAATGAATTACTCACATTATTGTTTTTGCTGAAGGTCTTGATGCATCTCCTCAGTCTTGTTGTGTGTTCTGCCTTGGGTAATTCACAGTGCTTCTTGATTTTTTCAGAGAAGAGAGAGAACCTGGGACTTTAAACAGAACTCCAGTGAGCTGGGAAGCTGTTTCGCATGGCACAGGGAATGACAGGTTGGGAAAGTATCTGTGGAGTTACAGCTGAGGGGGTATCAGACTGAGCTGCCTGCTCCAGCTGTAAGGCCAGATCAAGCCTGGACTTGCTGATGGTGGTGAGAGGTGGTGTTCTAGAGCCCTGCTGGTCAAGCAATAGCACGGTTCCAAATTTGGTCCAAATTCCAGCCCCAGTCTCTGTGATTCGCACACATGGAGCAGCATAAATGTTGTGGATTTCTAGGTGCATGCACCAGGCCCCAGAATACATTTGCCCATCTCACCGCATTGAAGGTGTCTCTATGACAGTCATGAGCAACCCACACACTGCCAGAATCACACTGAGCCTTTCCTTACGACAGACACCCAGGGAAGCCCTGGGGTAAGCTGGTGAGTCTCTTGGCTGGAGATGTCATACTTGGAGAGCACAGAGACTTAGCCAGCTCCCACTGTAGTACTGGTCACACACCTACCCCTCTACTGGGAGACATGTGGGAGAGAAAGACATCATGAACTAAGAGAGATGAAGGGGCCAGGGCAGATAAGGGGAAAATTATTTTACCTCATTTATTGTTACTCAAGGTGCAACATCCCAGCTCATCCTGGCAATGGACTTTGTATAACTTTAATTCCACCCACCCCATCCTCCTTTTCCACTGAAAATTCCTTTCAGTCCAGAGAGTGGCTACCAAGGAAAAGGGATTTTTTGGGAAATGAAGCACAAGCACAGCTATGGAGCTGGAAGATGGGCTGTGCTAGACAGTGTGGGACTGTTAGATAGCAAACACTGAGCAGTGGCCCACATCTCAGACCACATGAGGTTAGCGATGGAGTTCAAGACAAAGCCACTTCGGTCTGTGACTCCACTAAGCCTGGCCTGGGGAGGGAGAGCCTACACTGTTGACAAGTTCTAAACTTCCCAGGACACTTCCTATTCAAAGCATTGGCTTTCCTCATCCTCTCCAGTCACCCACCTGTCACAGAAGGGTAACTTGGATAAAATCTCCAGCTGGCATGGTGCTTCAGCCAGGTCCTTGCCTGGGGTCCAGTCGCAGAAGAGAGCTGCCCGTGAGTCATACCAACAAGTGAGGCTGGAGGCACCTGCCGGCAGAGAAGATATGGACAGTAACATGGCTGAATTAGCATTAACCATCATATCAGACAATCCTGCCCCATCCCAAACTACAGACTGACTCCTTTGCTGGATAACTGTCTCCAAGTAAGAAAGGCAGAACCACTCCTCTGTGTCACAGAATCATAGAATAGTTAGGGCTGGAAAGGACCTTAAGGTTATCTAGTGCCAATCCCCCTGCCATGGGCAAGGACACCTCACACTAGACCATGTCACCCAAGGCTCTGTCCAACCTGGCCTTGAACACTGCCAGGGATGGAGCATTTACCACTTCTTTGGGCAACCCATCCCTGTGCCTCAGCACCCTCACAGTAAAGAACTTCTTCCTAATATCAAGCCTGAGCTTCCCTGTTTAAGTTTGAACCCTTTACCTCTTGTCCTTGGAGGCTGATGTGCTTATAAGAGATCTGTAGCTGTTACAGCCTCCTCTGGCTGTATGTTACAACATGAACTTGGCACAACAACAGACCGTGACACAAACACTCCTCTGTCTGACTCCCCACCCTGCTTGTGCAGCTGGCATAGGTGAGGAGAATCACTTCTTACCTTGTGCTGAGTCTGATGCCCAGGAGAGAGGTGTGAGGCTGAACAGCCAGAGATGACATAGAAGCAGCAAAGAAGGCTTCATCTGTACCGGTGACACACTGAAAGAGAAAAGATGCCATCCAACATGTCTCAGCAATGCAAATTAGGAAGATGTCATCCCGCAGGAGGTATTCACTGTCCTCAGGTAGGGCTCAAAGCCAGTGGCAATATTCCAGGCTCAGGAACTAACACCTCTTCCACTCCAGTTCGTGCTCTCCTCTCACCACCTCATTGTTTTCCTGCCTTGGGTGCTTTGCTCAGCACTGAAACAATTTTCAGTGCAGCACAGATAGGCTGTTTGCAGGAGTAGTGCCTCCTGAAAATGCATGTGTGAGTGCACAGCAGTCTGCATGTGCTGTTTCAGGCTGCTTGCTGACTCAGGTAGAGAGTGCTGCCTTGCTCGCACATGGCTTGTGCTTTGAAGAGGATCTCTTTTTGGTAAGCCCCAGGGCTGAAATAAGTAGGTGCCTGCTGAGTAAGTGGGGACTCTGGCTGCAACTGACGAAAGTTAGTTACACAGCTCATGGCTTAGGAGGTAGGTTTTGAATAGCTTGTTTCAGACAGGGTGGGAAATCTGGGAGAAGGAGGAGTTTACCAGGTTCTGGGAAGTCAAGGCTTTAGTATACCACAAAACATTACATAGTCATGTACAAACCAAGCACCATCCTCGCATCCTCATCCTGCACTGCCTTGGAAGAAGCTGTGCTTTCCTGCCGTGCTCACCTTTCATCAAGCTTGGAGCCCAGGCAGAGCTGAGCTAAATAAGACATAGTCCAGCTGGATCCTACTGGGACTACCAGGGGGTGGGAAGAGAGGGTTTATAAAGGGCTGGCATGAGGCATAATATTGATTCCGTTCATGATAAAAGATTAGGTTCAGAGGAAGAAAAACATGACGACAATGCATTAACAGACAAAGGGGAGAGAAAGAGAGTGAAAGAAAGCAGGCGGTGTAGTTGTGAAGATGCAGAGTATGATTTGAGAGGACTGTGGAGAGACAGAGAGATAAATAAGTGCTCAGCCCTCCCCAACCGTGACATTCAGTTTGTCAGACTGAAACTCCTTCCAAGATGCTTTTCAAATCAGCCACCCCCATATGGGAGAGAGCTGGCATCACCCCCTTTACCTTTCAGCTGTGGGCACCAAGAGGTCCTGATGAAGGGAGTCCCCGGGGTTCAGGTCGTAGAGTTGGGTGAATGCAGGTGCTGGACATCAAACAGTGAGGGGAACGGGGAGAGGAGAACAGAGAGGGATGGAGGTGGATATCCTAGCTCAGTGCATGTCCAGGTGTCAGCCAGTGCTGCTGGCACAAGAGTTGCTTCCAGCCTGGCGGTTCTGCACATGCATGGTCTTGTACATGCACGGTCTTGTACATGCACGGTCTCTATTTGTCTTCTCCCTCTCACCTTTGCACAGGAAGCTGCAGCTCACTTGCCTTGTCAGAATGAGACGAGGCCCCAGAGTATCGAAAAGGCTAGTGAGGCCGAGAATAAAAAGCCCCAAACCACGTCCTACTTCCTGCTGGTAAAGCAATAGGTGCAGAAACAAGGGTGGAGGGATCAGGTGTCAGTTTGCAGCGCTCGTATGTACTGGGACCAGTTTGTAACTATAGCTGGGGAGCCAGAGAGAGAGAGGAGGACCTATTCTCTTGAGACACGGGCAAGAGACCCACAGCTTTCTTTTCCATACACCCAAGCAGATTGCTCAAATCACTCTCAGGGTCTGCACAGGTGCACAGATCACTTTGAAATGGAGGACAGCAGTCTGTCTGTCATAGAAATACCATGGACCACTTTGTGAAGAATAACTCAAGACGCTGACCTAATCAACACTAGAATGAAACCAGCCTCCACATCACTGCCCCAGTTTCAGACGATCCATCCTGGGTCTGAGCGGGAGTGGAACGAGGGCAGTGCTGAGTGTGAACAAGCTTGAGGCACAGACTTCACACTTGCAGGTGGTGTGACACCACAGGGACACCCATCCGGTGGCCTCCCTACACAGTGGTACACCCCACTCGCTCCACAGAAGGAAGAATCACTGCCTCCAATGTGAGCCTTGCAGCTAGTCCAGGCAGGCAGCACCACCCCGCAGTACCTTCAGTGCCTGTTTGGCATAGCTTGTCCACTCAACAGGCCAGATAGAGATGCACAAAATATGCCCATCTTATTCCAGAGCTTCATGCACCCTCACCTTCACGGATATATAACCTCTAATGGTCCCTGCAAGTTAGTTTTAGCTGTCTTTCACCACAGGCAGACATCTTACCCTGGGTGAAGACTTTGCCATCATATCCAAAGCCAAGACAGAGGCACAAATGCAAATCCACAGCCTGATGGTTGCCCATTTCACAGGCATGTGTATGCATACGTGTTCCTGCACACCTCTCTTTTTCCATGCACGAATACAATTCTCCGAAGTGCAGCACATTGTGTTTCCTGTCTGGTCTGGGCTGCACGAAGATGGCCGCTGGTGTGGGGCCAGATGACAAGAATCTCTGTTTATATACACAGTGGTAACCACGCTCCTCACCTTTTTCTCCTAGAGCAGCTCACGGCCTGAGCTGAGGTCCAGCAAGCAGGTTTTGCTGACCAAAAGCTGTAGGAGGCTAATCGCAGGTCTGCAGGCAGTTCCTTTTTAAAGACTCTATAAACATGGAGGATGGGATCTCCTTTAACAAAAGGATCTTGGTTTCAGGTAGAGGAAAAAGGGTGTGGGAGGTGGATGAGTCTTTAGTCACAGGCAACCAGCCCAGAGAGTGGATCTCAGAAGATATTAGACCTCAAACAGAAACAGTGTTGGAGCAAAACAGTGGTTTGAAGGCTGCAATAGTGGATCTTCATGGCCACTTCTGGGGGAGCACTGCAGTTAATCCACCATCAAGCACTCACTTAGCCAGCAGTCAGGAGTGCAACACCTCTTTCCTTACCATGCATGGCATGGACCAGGAGTCTGAGAGGTGCCACTTGTATGCTCCTGCTTATCATCTGAAGACTCCTGATATGGCCATTGTGAGGGCAACCAGGGAATCTGATCAGCCAGCAGTTGTTGAAGAGGTGCAGGGGAGAGGATGGGCTGGTGCTCTCCTGCAGTGGTAATTGCTGACTGTGGTGGTTGAAGCCTGGAGATTCCCACCAGGGTGGAGCTGTAATGGCATGTATTATCAGGGCACAGACCACCTTTCCCAGGAACTCTTAAAATGAATGCAGCTTGCTCTGGTGCAGAAGTCCTCAGCTGAAGCAATGAAATCCTCTTGGTATCACCAGCTTTGTGGCTGCAATGGAATGAGTACTCATGTTAACCATCATTTTTCCCATTTGTCCTTCAGACTGAGAAATCAGCAGTTTCCTTCAAACTACAGATCACTTTGGGAAAACAAGAGCACAAAGAGCCCATTTTTTATTGTTCATCTGAGAATCATAGAATTACAGAATGATCTGGGTTGGAAAGACCTTAAGATCATCTAGTTCCAACCCCCTGCCATGGGCAGGGACACCTCACACTAAACCATGTCGCCCAAGGCTCTGTCAACCTTGAACACTGCCAGGGGTGGATCATTCAATACTTCTCTGGGCAGCCCATTCCAGTGCCTCACCACCCTCACAGTAAAGAACTTCTTCCTTATATCTAACCTGAACTTCCCCTGTTTAAGTTTTAACCCGTTACCCAGTCACTACAGTCCCTAATGAAGAGTCCCTCCCCAGCATCCCTATAGGCCCCCTTCAGATACTGGAAGGCTGCTATGAGGTCTCCATGCAGCCTTCTCTTCTCCGGGCTGAACAACCCCAAATTTCTCAGCCTGTCTTCATATGGGAGGTGCTCCAGTCCCCTGATCATCCTCGTGGTCTTCCTCTGGACTTGTTCCAACAGCTCCATGTCCTTCTTATGTTGAGGACACCAGAACTGCACACAATACTCCAGGTGGGTGTCTCACGAAAGCTAAAGGGCAGCCAGTTCCTTGGAGATTGTTTTTTCTAGATCTGGGTCTCTACACTAGATATTCATGCAGATTTTCTGATACCTAGTAGTAAGAACTGATGTCACACTGAAGATTTTCCCACTGAGACTCCTAATCTAGAGCCAGCTCTCCTTCCACCTTTGCTTAACAGTAGTAAGGTGTCTACCTTTGCCAGGTGTGACTGGAATTGATTGACTTTTCTAAAACTGTGAAAGGAAGGGGAATGCTCTGTTGAATCAGCTAACAGGCAGCCGAACACCAATGTGTGTAGACACAGACAGGCTCAGCATGTCTGGTTTCCATTGGAAACACCATTTAAAATGTACTAAAGCAACAACTGTACGGCATAATTAGGAAAGGGTTTCCTACCCAGGCATGATACCATGACTGTGTCCAGATTCCATCTGATGCAGATAAATACACTTGCTATATGCACAGTTTTCAAACTTGATTGACCAGGAAGTTGTGCTGCTGAGAATATAGCACTTTTTTATCTCCTTTACACCAGAGATGGTGCCATTTGTAATGTAAGAAGCCAAACCCACATTGTCAAAAACACACGCAAGGTGTTCTTGTGATTACCTTCCTGTCCTCATAATGGTGACTGAGATGGGTGAACTCACTAGTCAGCGTTGTTGTTTTGTGTTAAAGCAAGCAGGTAAAAGTGTGCTGTTGGAGGTTTGGTTAAAGGTATTGTTTGGGCCAGAATGGTGTTTCAGGGGCAGTGTAAGTTTTAAAGATCCTCAAGTCTGGGACAGGTGCTTATGCACAGGCTCATCTTTCCCCCTTCATTCTGCTTTCATTCAGCACTGTTGAAGTTTCTCAATCTCTAGTTGCGCGTCTACTGAGAGTCTCTGCAGAATGGCAGAGTTGAATGAGAGAATAAAGAGAGCAAAGCAGCATGAAGCATTGTGTGGTGTCGAGCTACACCATGTTTGCTCAACTCATCAGCTGCCATCAGGCTAGGCACATCCCTTCCCTTGGCTGGCTTTCAGCTGGGACTGGAGTCCCAGGCTAATTGGGATGCCTTGCCTGTGCTTTACAAACCACCCAGCTCACCAGGGGTAAGTTCAGTGTAGTGAGAGGCTCTATAGATCCATCTCAGTGCCCTGATCCCATGGTGCTCTGGAGTGGAGCAGTGGGAAGGGTGCAGAGTGAGCAGGAGGTGAGGGGATGAGGGCAGAGATGCCCTAATGGCCACCAAAGTTTGCTTCCTGACAGGATACACTGTGAAGGCCTCTAGACGCTCTGTAGGTCTGGTACTTTCCAAATAATGTTGTTTTAACTATAACCTTTACATTTAATTTCCTGCCGTTCATATATGTGAGCTTCTGAAAACTACATCACTCTACATCTGCCCTTATTTTCCCCTTAAATTGTGGTTCTACTCCGAAAAATGTCTATAAAAATGGCCCTGTGGGGAACCAGTGGTTGGTGTATCAGTGAGCTCTTTACTGAATCTGTTCACAATGCAAGACTAAAATAGGCTTTGTCTCGTATCAAAATGGCAACCTTAGGCTGACATTAAAGAGGGCTTTTTTCCTCCTGCTCAATCATCCCTAGGGATATTGTTGCTTCAGGCTCAATGCTGCCATTGGCTGAATCTCCATCACCATGTTAAAGTGAAGAAGCATTTAAGCAATGGAGTTTAAATTGTTGTATCAGGTACCACAATAGAATAACCATGCTGGGCAGCAAGTGTTAAGCCCACCTACACACCAGATGATATTCCTGTTCCTTCCCTTCCAACTTGTGTCCCAAAGAAAGTGTCCTGATAGATCTGCCTGATAAAAGCAGGAGACATCAAATACATGCTTGAATACACAAAATGTTCAGAAGTAGGGATTTCCTAGCCTTGCAGGCTGCAGAAGAGCATGGATAGAAGGGGTAGGAAGCTGAGGCATTTGCAGGCACCATCACCCACAGCAAGTCTGGGGCTACAGGTGGGAGGGGATGGAGGAGGTGCTCACTTTCACTCTCTGACAGTGATGGTCACAGGACCAGAGAAGTGGGGAAACAAGGGTGGGAGGGAAAGCATGCTGCTTTCGAGCAGTTTCACTCCTAGCCTGTCTGGCTGTGAACACACAGCTATGAAATCATGAGCACGAGCACGGGACAATCATGAGATGCCCCCACTCAGAACCTGAGCCCTGGCTCCTCAATATGTTTAGGTTGAACTAGACAGTGCCAGGACTTTGGTCTGAAGGACTGGAGCCCATGCAGCAGATTAAAGGTTTAAGAAAGCTACTCAGTGTGGATGCCTGCCCCCCTAATGGGTGCTTGTGGTGCCAGAAGGGCTGCTCAGACCTGGAGTCCCTGCATACACACACTCATGGAAGACCTGGGCTGTCACAGAAGGGTCATTGAGGACCCTGGGCCTGGCACTCTCTGCTCCTCAG